GTCTTTTATTGACTTTTTGGGGTACTGCAGTTTTTCGCCGTTTCACGGTCGCACGCAATCTGTAAACTGGGCATGTTGGGTATCGTTTTACTCATTGTAACCTCATCTTTTATATTTCATTAAAAAAATGGGTAATTTGTTGTGTTTTGGGGCATTTAATTAAATTTGTCACTAAATTTTGGGGTTTAATAAGGAGTTGCGCTAATATTGCGCAACATAAAAATTTTCAACTACCACCATTTTATTCTATAGGGTCTTGGCATTCAGAAAATATATAATGTTGGGGGGTTGTACGTCATTTTCAGGCCTAAAATGTAGAATATAACATGGGTGCAAAAAATGAAAAAAGGGCCTCAGTCATGAAGGGGTTAATTAACCCTGTCTGTACTGTGCAGATAAATCTCGTCAGTTTCAAACTAATGTTGAAAACGAGATGTGAACACAGTCCTAACAAAGGGTTAAAGATCTAGACAAATTGTGTTTTATTGAGAGGAAACTCGGAGTGTCCCTAGTCTTTTAATGGGGATAGCCAGAGTTTGCTGTCACTTTGTAATTATACAGAGAAGCTCTATAGTCCAGCCAAACAACCACACAAAAAAGTTGACATTCATTTTCAGAGATTATGTTAGGTATGCTTTGAGTAGCAACACAAACACAGAGGGGCTCTCCCAAATTTGTTCACAAAAGCGGAAAATACAGTCGATTTCTGTATCCCTGCAATGCAGGAATGTTCAGATACCAGTGCCGATACTAGGCATTTTCACAAGAACCTAGTTGTGTTGTGACTGGGCCCTGGCACTTCACCAATGTCCTGAAATCATTACTCAGTATTGCTTTAGAAAAATCAGTGTGTACTTGGTCTGAAAAAATGGTATTGGTGGATTCCTAAAACTATATAAACAGGAATGCACACATCCCTGGAGCCCTGTGTGTTCCTTAAAAATGACAGCTGCCTCCTAACTTTAGAGTTTTTCTCTAGTCTAATCTTGGAGCTGCAAATGTATCTGTACTTGTACCAAGTACGGTATTTGGTATCTCAACAGTCCCTTGGATCCTGGGCCCAGGGTGTACATGAGGTGTCACTGAGCACCCAAACTAGGATTAAGCTCACTTTTGGAGAAGGGGAAGCAACCAGTGTATAGCCTATTCAGACAATCCAACTTCACTGCTAAGAAAGAGGAGGAGAAGGAGGTGTGTGTGTCCTGCTGTGAGCCATTTTGCAGTGTGGCCAATCTGATCTCCCTAATAAGGCCTATTGTACAAGAGCTGCTGTTATTTTAGTCTTTAAAAAGCTAGTACCCTTGCTTAGAGTTGTCCAACTTCTGAAATAAAATATTCATTAGGTATATTTTGTATAATATATAACAACCAACACTTAAAATCGACACACCAGTGTCTTTCAGCACACTGGGTACAAGGCTGCACATGGCTAGTAAAGAAATTCCAGGCAGAGGTAGCATAAAATGGGTCAGCACCGTATCTACGGTCTGAACACATCTTTTCCATCAGTAGGGCAGGAGAAAGCACAAACTTACACCTACACTTTATGCTAGTGCTGTAAACAATCAGCAATTTTAGAAATAGGTTTACAGAGGCATAGCAAATCCAAGACTTATTTTTACTTTGTTTTATAAATAAAACAGTCACAATATATTAAGTGCTTATAATGCAAAAGCAGGCATACAATAGTTAGTTACCGCTAAGTGCTTTCAAACAATAAGTGGACTGTGGTTATTTTCAATGAATAGACGTTAACAATAGAAGAGAAAATGGGATTATTTAGTAGCGGACATAAATCTCTCACACACCAATTACTGAAAGAATAAAATGGTACATTTACAGAGAAGAAACAAAAGGCCACCTACCCCTCATTTTGATTCATGCACTTGTATGCCAACTTGATCCATAGCTGGATATCTTGAGGGTTATCAAGCACGCTTGCTTCCAGGTTAACAATGTCATCAGTTTCATTTGTGAAATACCTGACATCATCTGTAGTGACAACACCATCATGAATGGGAACCTTTGTTTTGAGGTCTGGGATGCTTGCTGGAACTGCAGGAAGGAGAAAATGTGTTCACATACAACACGGATGAGAAACATCAATTCTGCTACTGCTAATCTCTAAGTATTGATGGAGGAGCAATACCAACAAAGCATTTCAAAGAAATATTTACTCAGGTGTAGAATGTGACAACGGTAGTTCTATGGTCATCTATGAATGACCATGTAAAGAATGCAGGTTTATCAACAAAAAAGATCTGTTAACCTTCAAAAAAAACTCAAGCAAGGGGAAAGGTAGTGATTTCAGTGCTTGTAGAAATGGTAAACTAAATTTTCAACTGCAAATTAACCAGTCACTAGCACCTTTGCTACAGAGTGGTTTAGACTCCCACATCCCAAGGCCAAAATATGATTTTTGGCTTTGTATATTCTGGCACATTGGGTTAGGCTGCTGCCTTCAGGAGATTGGACACTGGCAAAATAAACTTTTAGGGCAACCCAGAGTAACCACCCTCACTCCCAGCATCCCTCAGTTTTGTGCAGAGAATAAGTCGATTCACAAAGCTGAAAAAATTAGTGCGGCACTTCTGGCACTGCAGCAACTAAGAAAAGCTGCTTACAAAAAGGAACCTTGATAAAAACTTTAAAAAAAGGTATTACTAATCTTGGAGGAGAGAAGACAGCTGTTCACCTAGGACACTAGAAAAAAACAAGGCATGCTAGGAGTGGGAACAGGTATTCTGGGCTATTCTATGGCTTTGACAGCATACAATCTTCTGAAGATAGCAGCCAATGTACCTGAATGCTCATTCTGTGTCCTGTAATGTATAAGATTCTTTTTTCTTTTTTTTTTTTTTAGTTCTGAATTAAATACGAAATTGCTAAAATTACAGTCAGGTTTTGTTTTATTGGAGGGGAAGATTTTCCCCTCACTTCCTCTCTTAGAAACATAACCACGAGTGAGAGGACTCCCCTCTCGTCACTGGAACTGTGTCCCCACATTTTGGCTTTAGATACACTTGAATACAAGAAATGCTGACACTGAAATACCTGAATTCAGACTGTTTTAACAACCATATTAAAAGTTAAAAATTAGCCTAGGAGATCAATCCATGTAGGTAACCAAATAGTGATCTGTTTTTGTTTCAAGATTTCAATATATCTCATTGGATCTAGTCTAACAAAACACAAAATGTACGAGTTTGACAATGGTACATTTTTAGATCACAGTAGATTCCTGCTCCAAGAAATTTTCGATTGACTTACAAGATTCATTTTTTTTTTTTTATTCCCCTGTTGAAGCAAATTAGAACATGCTTTACATGCTTTGTTGTTTTACCTTTCTCTGGATTAATTTGGGGTTTAAGAGTTTTTTTATATGGAGGTTTTGGATTTATTAATTTTTCTACTGGTTGACCTCAATGGACTTTTGGGGTTTTGTTTTGTTTTTTCAGCTTGACACTATTTCAATCTTACCACAACTAACAGCTTTTGTAGTTTCTTCTTCATCACTGCTGCTACTATCTGCAACAGGTTTTTTCCAGTACATGGGCTTCCATTTTCTTATGTCTTTATAAGTAGTGTGTGGAGGGACTGTGAGAAACAATATTACATATGTTAAATCAGAAATGTTAAATCAGAATAAATCAATGTATAAAAAAAAAACAAAGGGAAAACACAATTTTCATATAAAAACACAATTATTTTTCTCTAAACAGAAATACATCCTCACTGGATGAAAAAAGTTTAATTTCCACAGGGACAAGGAAAATAGGATTTTTCGTACTCCCAAAAAATAATTTTCTCTAATTTTATATAGCTCTCTCTACTGATCAAGATTAGGAGAACCAAAAGCAGTAATCTACTGTAACAAGGAATCCTCTTCTAAAGCAATGACATTGTACCGCCACCTGCAGGACTTTGCATGCAAAACTAGCATCTGAAGATGCCAGTAAATTAATCTTGTAAAACTTGGTAAAAGGTATGAGGAGATGACCAAATATCCACTTGCAGACCCGTGAAACTGATGCCTGGTGGTGAAAAGCCCACAAGACACTTACTGCATTAGTAGGAAGGGCCATAACTGGAAACGGAGGATCCACGTGAAGATGGCCTAAGCCTAAACTGAAGTCTGGTGAAACCAAGAAAAGGTGGGCACAGAGGCCACTTGCCCCTTCTGCAACCAGACAGTTACCACAAACCTGGCAGAAGGAGGCCGTAGCATTCAAACAAACATGCAGGGGCCAGACCAGGTCCAGTTAATTTAGAGCTATCTTCTATGAGGAAATGGTTTAGAAAGTGATGGACAATATCCTAATTTAGAGTTAAGAGACAAAAACAGCTTAGGAAAGAAAAGGAAGGCCTTGGGCAAAGCACAGCTTGCTCTTATGCCAGACAAGATGGAAAAATGGCAAGAAAGGAAGTAAAACAAGAAAGGGCCACCAACAGAAGACAGACCCCTATCCTTCAGCCCCTGGCTTTCTAACAGGTAATTATAGCCAGCAATTATAAAGCAGGATAGAAGATGGGTCCTTGAGACAGCATGGTTGAAGAGGAAGGCAACTGGGAGTACCTATGACCAGACTAGGTCCACATAACCAAGACAAACGAGACCATTCAGGAACCACCAGAATAACCAAAATCCCTTTGACTTAAACCCTGCAGAAGACAGCTGAGGCAGAAGCTTTATCACAGAAAAAGTATAAATCCGAGACTGTCTGAGACCCCATTGAATCCTTAACTCTTGACCAAGAATCCTGTATCCTGACTACAAACCTGGCCTACCTAGTGGCTTGCGCAAGACACCATCAGGTCTATGCCTGCTGGACCTCACAACAGGCATACATTTCCTAGTGGAAAGACCACTCTCTAATGCAGGCTCTGGCAATTTACAGTTATTCACAACTGGATTGTATTCCATGGGAGGAACCATAATGTGATTATATACCTACGCAAAAAGGGGGAGACCTCTATACGGTGCAGCCAGCCACTTGGTGGTTGACTTATGCCATGATCGTGGTGTTGTCAGTCTGCATCCTCATTGGAAGCACTTCCTATGCCACCACTGATTGAACAGACTATCCTGAATATGCGCACTCAAAAAGGCATGGAGTACTTTGGAGGTTCAGGATGTGCTGAACTCCATACTTCTTTGGGACACTGAACAGGTTTGAATCAGTGACCTTTTAAACCAGAACTTTGCGAACAAACAATAACATTCCCCCCACCTGGATAGCACAGATGTGGATACACCATGCAAAAGGGATAATCCGAGAGCTTTGGCAGGCTAAAGCTGGCCATACACTGCTATATTTTTTTCCCAAACTGCAGGCTTCAGAAAAAAAAAAAAGATTCCTCTTCTGTTGGGTTTTTGTATTCTGACAGTGACAGCTGTGCCACTGTCAGACTATTCGAACAGTGACAGCAGCCAATTGCCTGCAGTCACTGTTCCCCCGAACATTTTCCAACCAACTCCTGTGATTTTCTTATCAAAGGATGCCGGTTGGAAGGTCGACAGGGTCACCCACAGAGTATATTTCGTCTGGTTTATCAAGATGTATAGACTTGCCAAGGACATATGGTGTCTAAGGAGGTGGATTTGAAGACTTTGGCACCCTTGTTAGAGGTTCCTTGTAAACAAAATTCCCATTTAGACCTATGGATAAATGGTCTTTGCAGAATCACTAACTGAGAGATGATTTGCTGCTCCTCCTACAGAAAACACAAAACCCAAGAGATTAAAAGCCCTATCCCTACCCCTTGTCCCTCTGTGATATAATGAAGCCTACCACCAAGGAGCAAGAGGAAAAAGAGAAAGCATAATTTAAATAGAAACAATACATCAACCGATTTCAGGTGGGAAATGGTAATGCTGTCCTGGAAAGACCATTACTCACAAGTCTAACTGGGGAATTCCCCAATAGTGTTCCAGGAAAGTCATCTGAGAGAATAACAAAGTACCCTAACCTTGGAAATGCTTGGCCCTGCTGCTGCATTGCAAATTGCAACTGTTTTGCATGCTCAGGTTCCAGGCAGTAAACCTGTATTTTTGAAGATCTGTATGCAGGGCTGGCCCCTGGAGGAGGTCTCTGCAAGGAGGGAGCATGTTGTAGGGCCTATTGACAGTAAAAGCAGCAATAAAAAACCATGTCTTATGAAAGACATTTTTATTTTTTTTACTACTAGTGTTAAGATTGAGAAGAGGGAACATGTATGCCAGCTCCAAGTCCCATTCAGGGGCAAAGCAACTACCCCCAGGAATTGCAGGTCCTTGCTCAGGAAGAAGTAGTTTGTGTCCTCTGTTTTGCTTGGAGGCTAAGAGATCCATCTATGGGCACGCACATGTTCCTGGGTATCTAGTTGTCACTCACTCTGTACAATCTAATGGATAAGAATCTGCCAGGAGCCCTTGAAGTTCAGGACGATCAGGGATGTTAACATGTTTTAACCCCAATCCAAGATCTCCCTAACAAGCAACAAGAAAATTTCCAATTTTGTGCCACCCCGAAGATTTATGTAAGTTACCACTGTAGTGTTGTCTAGGTAGACCATGACTTCTCTCCATCTAATATGATTTTGAAAAGGACCCGAGAGCTGCCCACTGCTAAAAGCTTAAGTTGGAGGACTCCGTCCTGAGATTGGAATTTTCCCTAAACCTGTAATGTGCCTATGTGCACATTTTGTAAGGATTGATCTGACCTAATGTCTTCCTCTCTGGAGGCTCCTGTGGGCCCCCCAATATGCTTTCCATCACTGCTGGGGGTAAAGTGGTAAACTTGTCTAGAGAATTCTTCTTTCTGTCCCATGAGGTCAGAAGATGTGACTGGAACTTTCTGGAGTGGAATTGAGCCCAGGGACTCGGTTAGGAATGACCTAAGCGGGTCATTAAAAGACTTAGACCGTGTTGGCAATATTATAGTTTCTCTGGTTAGGGTAACAAGTTCACCAACCAACCAAAAAGTTCACCAACCAACCAAAGGCTGAAAGGATTTCCAGAAGTGGAGGCCCAAAAGTATGTTTTATTTTTGCCTTCGCAAAGATCAGAAAATTGTCTAGGTAAGGAATTAAGTCAAGTCTCAGGTGTGCCGTGACCTTGGTAAAACTCAATACAAAGTATGTCCCATCGCACTCCTGATCGGAAGGAAACCCGGAGGTTGGGTGGGTACTGTAGTGATGTATGCTCTACAATGTGACACTACTACAGTCAATAAAGTGATTGAGTATCAAGCTGGAGTGCGAGTGACTGTCTAACGATTTCTTGACACTTGCATGTAAAGGGAGAACTCAAAACTGTCAATTATTCAGACCCTCCGCATCCGATCATAAACCTTGAAGGAGGGAGATTTCTCTGAATGATTGTTTGCAAAACTGCTATAATTACATGCATTTAATAACAACCTTACAGATGTCACTAATGACATACAAATTAGACACCAACAGCATCAGTGAAATGCACCAAATCACTCTAGCCTCATACTGATTCCATTCAGGGCAGAGTAAAGGTGGCCATACACTTTACAACCATCGCAAGACCTTAGTGTTGCGATGGTTGTAAAGTAATTTAAAAAACGTACGATCTGCCCATCTTGGACAGGCTGATTGTACTTGCGATCATCGGAAGCCAGCCCCCGAGGGGCGGGCTTTACGATGACCGCAATGCTGAACGGGCAGTGTGCGCATGTACACTGCGATCATGCTTAAAACTTACATGATCTTACGATCATGCTAAAAACCAGCCGAAAATCGTACGATTCTCGGCTGGTTTTCTAGCATGCTCCTTAGACAAAAGACGTGCGACCGTACAGTAAAAAACGGTCGCACGCCTTCCATACACTGTGCGATTATCGTACGATCGCAGGATTTCCCGCGATTATCGTGCGATAATCGCACAGTGTATGGGCACCTTAAGAGGTAGGTAGTTAGCCAATACCAAGATCCCACACCTGTGCAGCTGTGGTCACGCAATCATCTTCAGTGATATAAGCGCTGTTACCATTTCTAGAGGTAGGTCAGCAAAGGGGAGGGGGGTAGTGAAAAGCTTGAAATGTCAAGCTTGTGAATGGACAATAGTAGCTAAAAAAATAGGAAACGCTTTAATAGCACATTAAAAGAAAAAAAAAAAGAAGGTTCAATTTGCATACTGAAAAGGTGTTAAGTTTGGACATGTCCTGCAATCCATCAATTTTGGGGCCCATTAACACAATCTGTTCACAAGATCTGTTGATGTACACTTAACATGTTATGTTAAGCTCTTCAAGGTCGCCCATTCATTTGAATTGGCTGCCTATTGTATCACAACAGACATGCAGCATCAGGATGGTGCATTGGGGTGCAACTCACAATGAAAGGCACACAGCAGCACACCAACTCGCATAATGTGTAACAGACATATTACCGTAGCACACTGGTGTGAATGTGCACTAAAGCTATTTTGTGCACATTCTTGTCATAATGCTATTGGCTGAAGAAAAACTGCTTTTAATAACTGCATTCACATAGTATGACTGCAGGAATTCCATTTCTACATTAATGCTTAACACGTGGTTATTAAAAATTACTTCTATTAATGAGTTGCCCTAGAGCTCATCTTTTTATAACCTTTTGTACTTTTTAGACTTTAAAGCTACCATTAAGGGCCATACTATACTGGGATTCTGCCATCACCTCATCAGTGGTAGTATTACAAAATACAGCAACCAGAACAGACTGATATCTTGCTTTTTTGGGAGCAATGCGATAGAAATAGGAGGACCACCACCAGTGAGAGAATTACTAGTGTGGCAACACTTTTAAATAAGTCACAGAGGAGGTCAGTTTTCTCTTAGCAAGGGTAATTCACGCTGAGGTGAAGTATTTCAATTGAAGAACAAGTAACCTCTCCCGAAAAACAGTTACCAAGTTTAGAAACAATATTCCCTACAGGGTTCAAAAAGCAAAATAAAAAAATAAAAACTTACCGTGACTTCGGCTCTCGTTGACGTGACTCACAAGAAGAACTGACATCAGATCCATTGACATGCGATCCCGGTTAACACCAAAAAGCTTGTCAACGTATTTCTCTGGAAATAAGTGGCAAATAAAATTTAGGACACATCACTTGGCCACCAATCAGATTCAAACTTGCCTGGGAAAAGACAGTTGGTGAATTGGAAGTCTATACCTAACTGGGTGCTGTGGGACATATACAGCGAGTTCTTAGTCCAGAAATGGTGACAAAAACGAGACTTAGAAACCCCCAAAAAATGTAGATTCAAGACAGCAGAGGAACTCGGGTAGTAGAAATGGAGTAAAACCGGATTTCTTCAAAATTAGGTTTTTTTTTTATTCCATAAAATATATACATAAACCACATCTCATCTAAAAAAGCAATGACGGTGAGATATATATATAGATCGATATATATCTATATGTATAACTAGTTTACAGATTTGTGTTTGCAGTTACCCAGCCTAGACAGTACCACATATAAATTGCCCATGAATTCATTTCAGTACAGCGTTGCATGACGGAATAAACGTCAGTCAAAGTATCGCAGCGCTGAACACTGAAAAATGGCCTGGCCAGGAAGGGGGTCTAAACACCTGGTCTTGAAGTGGTTAAGGGGCCTACATCAGTTCTGCTTTTTAAACTTCATGAACTGCATAGAAAGGGCAATGGGGTAAGGGAAATTTTTCAAGTGTTAAACTGCACCCATCTTTTATGTAAAAACTGGCTATGATAAAAAGTAAAATGATATTTCAAATATTACCAGTTGCAGCCATAATTTCCTCATCATTACTTTTCTGCGAGCAACCAATCAAGTCCAAGTCATAGGATAGGATATCTTGGAATAGCTGTTTACGACTTAAAGTGCAATCACGCATGTGCTGCCTATAAAGTGAGTGAAATGTAAAAAGGTAACATTTTAAGTAGTCTCGCAAATGCTAATGGAAAGAAACCTTGGTAGAAGTTCACACTTACCACTGACAGTCATCATCATTGCATGTGCCTGTGAGGTCAAAGTGACAGAAAAAGTTCTTGGGTTCAATCATATTGCTATGAGATACGGAGCTCAGGAGCAGCTTCTCCTTTGTGCGAAAATACGGACTAAACCTGAAAAATATTATGCATTCATTAATAATGCAAATCATTTAAATTAGGGCTGGTAATGATTAAAATTTTCATGTTTAATTAATCACATTTTTTTAAAAATCGATTAATCGATTCATTTAGATTATAACGCACATACAGATCCAACTACATTGGCCTCTACACATACAGCACAGCAATGAAGTAATAAAATGAACTAGGATCACACTAATCCAGCACGTTATTAATCTCACGTGCCCCACTCAATATGGCCGCCGCTTGAGCGGGACAACTCAGAATAATAACGTGCTGGATTAGGGTGATCCTAGTTCATTTTATTACTTCATTACTGTGCTGTATGTGTATAGAGCAATGCCGCGCAGGTCGGCTCAGTAGATATCGGGAGGTGAGCGAACACATACCGGCGTTCGCTCACTTCTCGATCACGTCACGGCTCTCTGCCGTGACAGGGCAGGGGCTTGCTTCCCCTATCCTCCAGCGCTGACTGGCGGAACGGACGGGGGAGGGTACAGTTGGCTCTGCCTCTAGATAGGCAGAGCCAGCTGTCACTCACGCAGCTGGGCAGATCCTGACATAATTGTCGGGATCCACTTCAGCTGCGGCATCTCAGTATACTGTGAGCTGTAGGTCACGGTATACTGAGCTTAGGGTGACGGGAGGATGCTAGTTTGTGTCCTCCCGTTACCCTGAGAACTATGGGGAAAAGCCCTAACCCCATAGTTCTCCTTTAAATACTGGCACCATAGTATGACCACTACCTATATAGTAGTCTGGGTGGATTTATATATTTTTTTAAGAATATATGCTTTTACACCCAAGTACACATTTTTACATCAGAATACCCTGCATTCTAATAAAAGGTGTGCACACACACACACACACCTATCTATGCTATTGGTAGAAAGCCGTAAGGAGGAACAAAAGGCAGCAGCAATAGAAAGTCAACCTAAAGAAACTTGAAAGAACCAGAAAGATCCCCCAATAAAAGTAATGAGAAAGATCCCCTAATAAAAGTAATGAGTAAAAGAACTTGTGGACCTGCTGTACAACCTGCAACCCTTTGGTGTTTCTAAAGTGCGACCCTCAGGCCCCAGCAGTCAGTAAAAAAGGTGCCACTACCGGGCCGCAATAAGTCTATATACGGCGGCCCGCAGAAGTGGTTAAACCAAGAACATGGCTGCTGCAGCAGCTGCGTTTTTTATGTCCTTTTAAACAGCCGCTCATGGCTGTTAATGTACAAGCAATCCGGCGTCTATCGCTTGCACGGTGCGGCGCTGTGTCCACCCCCCTTCCAGCCGCTGATCTCTCCTCTGATCACTGGACCCGGAAGTGACATCACTTCCAGTGTCACTGTTTACATTTTTCGGCTCTTAGAGCCAGGAGAAGATCTCTGCTTCCCCAGCTTCTTTGGGGGTCTTAGAGTCAGGAGAAGAAGCTGGGGAAGACCCATGTCTCCATAAAGAGGACCCATCACACCCTATCTACTATTACATAGGGGACTTCTTAGTACCCTATGTGACAGCAAAAAATAAGAAAAAGAAAATAGAAAAATGCAAAAAAAAATAAAATATACATTTTTAAAATCCCCTGCCCCCCACGTGCACGGACATACAAACTTAAACACGCGTTGGTGCTACTACGTGAAAAAATCGAAATTGCACCACACAGTGAGAGCAGCAATTCTAGGGCCATCAATCACTGTTAGCACTAAACTGATGAGCAGTAAAAGCTTTTAAATTGTTCCCTATGGGAAATTTTGGGTATTGTAGTTTTTTGCGGTTTAAACGCAATTTTAATACTCGACTTGCTTGGTATGCATTTACCCGTCGTGACCCTATCTTTTAGTTTACCAAAACATTGGTTATTATATTCCGTTTCTGTGCAATAAAATCAATTTTAGTACATTGTATCCTAAAAAAACTGACTTGATAAACATTTACGCAAAGTACTGTGCGACATATAAAATTTAAAGTAGCATCATTGTTTGGGGGTCTGGAGCAGTTTTGTAGCCATAAATTCAGATTTTATCATGTGTGCGCAAATAGTAAGAAATTGTTCTGGACAGCAAGTGGTTAATAGCCGTGATCTCTAGTAGTTTAATGTAACATGACCCTAGTCTCTGACTATCTCCTGCAGTATTAATTCAGTCTCTAACCATGACTGTAGAAGAATCTTTGACCATTTTCTGTAGCCTTAGGTCTATGGCAGTTTTTCTTAAGCATTACCTATCATATATGCAGCCCTTTGGAGACATCGGGGGCTGAATTAGAGTCCCCCTGTACCTTACAAGTTGGCATCCACTGCATTATGGCAAGTTCACTAAAAAAAGCACAATAGCTTCATAGCAGTGAGAAGGTAGCACTAGGGGTCTAATAAACCCCTCGTGTCACCTTAAAGAGCACATGTCACCACCTACCATGCTATCACATTGTAAGCCCCCTTAATGGATAGCAATTAAAACTAGCACATTAACATTGCTGATTCCCAAAGTAAATGTTACTAAAGTAAATCCATTAAGTGTTTGGAAGAAATAAAAATTAAATGACAGGTCAGTTTCTCAAAAGAAAATAAGCAACGGAACATACGGTATGTATACTTTCCACTGATGACTAAAATTGCAGTTAAATGAAGATTTTTTTTATTTGACCCCTGCAGAGCAAAGTAAAAAAGGTTTACCAAGCAGCATCTAACACACACACACACACACACACACACACACACACACACACACCTATTGTCAGCTCCATTCAGCCACTGAGACTGGAAAGAGAAAGCCCTGTGTAAATGTCAGACTTATCTAAAATGGGTCTATGAACCCCTTGCCCAGCTCCATAGCGCTAGGCCAATCAGCAGCCAGTAAGCACATGGGAGAAAGTGAGTCATGTTACTCACCCATACCCACGACAGACTTTGTGGTCTATGGCTAAACAAAGCAACAAGGCAGTGAAGGAAAAGGGAGTTTATGCTGCTGGGGGTGAAGGCAATTTGTTTTCCGTGTATTAGCCAAGGAATGGTTCACTTTACATTGCCAACAAAATAATGCTATTTTATGCCCTAGTAGATTCAGTGCATTTGTTCTACAAAAAGATTTCTATTTTAAACATCATATTTCAAAAATTGCCTATTACACTGATGGGGATGCTTAAAACTGTCCTTTTTAAATTAATGTAGGCAATTTTTCCCAAAGAAAAAAACAGTTGCAGTACCTGCTTTACAAGTGGATTTTTGTACTCACAAAATAATACTTTTTTGAAATCCATGAAGAGATAGAGGAAATCTTCAAATCTTAGGAGTTGTACAGCTGATTACAGAATGACAGGACTAACCTTCCCTACTACCAGCATGCTTCGGCAGTGACAAGCACATGATTATAAAATGAGGGGTGGGACCGATGTCCCTCAAAGGACTACAAGAAAATGTTTTCATGGTGAGTTCAAAAGTCCTATTTTCTTTCTCTCCATTGAGGCATAAAGAAGTGTTAAACTTTGGGATGTCCAAAAACACTCCATTTGAAGGGTGAACAATACAGCAAGCTAATGCTAACAGGCCCAACATAACCAAGAACTAGGAACTGCCAGCACTTAAAAGATCTGCCTAAAGCAACTTAAGCAGGCATCAGATAAGGCAGAAACATCCACCTGGTAGAACAAATGAACCAAAGACCAGGAGCCTCACAAATTTGGGAAACACTAATCTGGTTTCAAAACCGCACGAGAGGCACTCGCAGACCTAGTATAGTGAGCCTTAAACAGAAAAATCAGGGGACACAACGCTTGAGACCATAAGCAATGGGATAGTCCATCTAAGCCAACAAGAGATTGCTGAAGTAAAAGCCAGTGTGCCCTTTGGGGCTCATCTGGAAAGACATAAAAGGGAAACCTACTCTGCAGTTTCTGAAGCACAGAGAATGAGATTCAGATCCAAATGATTCACAGGGGAAGGGACAAGGAGTAACCACATGGGAGACCCATGGTCTTAATCAAAGTGAAAGGCCTTGGGTTTCTGAAACAGAATAGAAAAAGCAGAGACCTGACCTTTGAATGTGCCAAGAGACAACCACTGGTCCAGACCCAACTGCAGGAAGGAAAGGAACAGTCCCACAAAAACTATTAGGGTAAGAGCACCAAGTAAAATAAGCTATCGGCATCAGATGAAAGACCTTACACAAAGTTGACTTTCTAGCCTTGAACATTGTAGGAATCGCAGACTCAAGATACCCCTGTCCCACAGAACATAGGCTTCAATAAGCCTGACCAAAAAGCAGGATGGTAAAATCAGTCCTTGGAACACCAGATCAGGACAATTTGGTAGGACCCACAGCGCATTTGCCAGAAGTCTTACGAAGTCAGTGTACCACATTCACCTAAACCAATCCTGGACAAAATGGGAGTGGGGACCACTCTCCCGGGTACAGATACTGCCAGCTGTCTGCCTGGAATGTGCATGGCTGAAAAGCTCAGTGCAGCCCAAGACAGGATTTGCTCTGCCTCTGGACGCAGTGATTCTGGTTCCTCCTTAATGGTTAATGTACCAACATACTGTTCAACGCTAAAGGAAAAGCCACATCACCCAAAGCTCCAAGATGTCCACCTTGTTAGTGTCCCCTGCACTAACAAGGGGTTATACCCTGAGCTGGCCTAGAGGTTTTTTTTTTTGTATGCCAATGTCAAACACTCCTGTAGGCAGCATTATAACACCAAAGGTTTAAGACTTCATGTGTCCCTCAACGAATAAGAAATTCTAACTAATTCTGTTAGTTGGAATAGGGGTTTAATAAAACCACAGTGTTATAACTACTGACAGACTGCGATGACTCAAAGAGAAAGCCACGGTTGAGCTGTAATCCTGGCAATGCTAGTTGCCTTGCTGTCACGATTAAACATGGCATTACTAACCAAGAATACAAATCATTAGTTCCAACGTCACTTGCATCTACCTGCTCCTGGTCAGTCAATCAAAGTGGTCACACCATTTTTGCAATTTATTTTCCCCATTTTTTTTCT